TGTGGAATCATTTCCTTTCAACCAGAAGAATTCTCTTTAGCATATTTACCAACTGATATTCCTGGTTTTCTTTTATGTGAAAATGTCTTTGTTTCTCCTTCATCCTTGAAGAAGGTTTTTGCCGATTATAGACTTCTGCATTGACAGTTTTTGCCTTTCTCTTTCAGGCTTTTTATTGGCCTCCATAATTTCTGATGAAAAGGCAGCAATAATTTTAATTGCTGTTTCCCTCTATGTAATGTGCCTTTTTTTTCAGGCAACTTTTAAGATCGCCTTATTATTTTTTACTTTTTAGCAATTTGAATATTATGTACCCTAGCATGGTTTTCTCCATTTTTATCCTGTTTGAGGTTTTCTGAGCTTCTTAACTCTGTAAATTGATTTCCTTCACCAATGTGGGGAAAATGTAGGCTGTTATCTTCAAATATCCTTTTGCTGACTCATCCTCTTTCTCTTATTCTTCTGAGGCTTCAATGATACCTTTTGACATTGTTCCACAGATTCTTGAGGTTGTATTCATTCCTTTCATTTTTTTTCTTTTTTTTTCTTCGGATGGGATAATTTCTATTGATCTTTCATCACACTGACTTACTCTTTCCTCTGTCATCTCCATTTTACTGTAATGTCCATTCAGTAATATTTTTAAATTTTAGATATTTTATTTTTCAGCTCTAGGCTTTCCACTTGGCTTTTATATAGTTTCTCTTTCTCTGCTGAGATTTATGTTTTTATTTATTTTGACCATATATTTCTTTGCCTTCTGGAGCAGATTAACAATAGGTGCTCTAAAGTCCTTGTCTGCTAGTTTGCCATGTGAATTATCCAGGGGTCAGCCTTCACTGATTGTCTTTTCTCTTGAGAATGGGTCACATTTCCTTGGTTCTTTTTATATGGAGAAATCTTGCACTGTATCCTGGATATTGTGAAAGTTGTATTGTGAAGACTCTAGATTCTGTTATGATCATTTAACTATTTTTTTTTTTTAATTTAGAAACCAATTTCCTTAAATCTTATGTCAGTTCTTCGTCCAGCCACTTTAGTGAGGCAGTCTGCAGTCTGCCCTACACATGCATAGTTCAGGGTTCTACACAGAATTTAGGAATCCTAATCCCTGGTTCTCTCCTTTCTGGAATTTGCTCTTCAATTTCCATCAGCTCTGGTTGCCCTAGACACTATCATCTATTTCTTCAGGCTAGAATAATTCAGATTTGTTCAAAGTCTTTGCCACTCCATATTATACCACAGTGGTGATAAATATATGATAGATAGATGATAGACAGATAGACCCACTTCACTTTCCTGGTCCTTTCTTCCAAGTTTTGACTCTTCCAGAATCTGTCTGTATTTTTTTTTCATTTTTCAGAACTGTAGGCTAGTTTTTCATGGTATTTTATAAAAGTTATAGTTCATTTTCAAGAGGGTTGGTCTATGTATTAGTCTGCTAGGGCTGCCATAACAATGTACTACAGATGGTAAAAACAACTTAATTTTCTCACAAACTCTGGAGGCTAGAAGTCTGAGATCAAACTGTCAACAAAACTGGGGTGTTTTTGAGACCTCTCTCCTTGGCTTGTAGATGACTGTCTTCTCTCTCTGTCTTCACATGGTCTCCCCTCTTACCTCATTTAACTTTATTACTTCTTTGAAAACACTGTCTCCAAACAGTCATATTTTGAGTTACTGCAGTTTAGGATTTTAACATACGAATCTTAAGCATCTTGAACACAGGTTAGCTCACGACAGTATATAAGGAAAATCTTCAGCCATACCAGAACTTAAACTCACCCATGGCTATTAGGGATACTGGACAAGATACATGTTTCCTCTGAATTCTAATTTAGTCTCAGACTCCTGCTCAGGCCCCCATTACTAATAAACTTGTGTTGGCATGCGAGATAAAATATATTTTCCATCCCTGTTCCAACATACTCACAACATCTACAATGTCAACTATAATGTTAATTTCTAAAATTAAGTCTTTATTGCTACCTAAATGCAACCTACACTAACTCATAAATATCAATATAACAAACATGAGTGTTTTCTCTCCATTATGCCTCATGTCCAATAACCAACTTTTGTTGAACTTTTCTTCATGATATCTATCGGATCTGTCCCTGCCTCTGAACTGAAGCATCAGACATGGAATTTCATTGCTCACTGTTCTCTATCTAAAACTTTCCAGTGGCTCTCAAATTTCACTCTGAATATAGCCAAAATCTTTACAGTGCTCTCTGAGTTTGAAAACCAAGTTCTTACTATTTTATTAACTGTATCACATACTTCTGTATTATGTGTCATTTTTTTGGTTTGTTTTGTTGCCTATTTCCTCTGACAGAAAGGAAACTACACCAAGACAGTTTTTCATTTGTGTTCATTGCAAAATCTTAGACTTTAGAATACAACCTAGATTCTGATAGATGGCTAAACATATTTGTTGAATTAATCTGAATGAATGTATTATTTGCTTTCCCATTATTCTTTCTCTTATTGCAATGATGTTATTGGAAAACAATAACTCAGAAAAAAAGAATACCAACAAAATACAAGATGTTAACCATATTTTTTAAGACAACTGATCATATGTTTAGAAACCCTTTCTTTAAGCCTTTGTGAGTCTTTATATTAGTGACACTGCTTTATATTTCATTATGATGGGAAACATCTTAAATCTGAACTATTTTACCATCTTTTAACGTAATAGTAATGAACCAATAGTATTTAAAATAAATATTTAAATACTTTGTAAAACAGAAGTAGTACTCTGTTCTAAAACTATTTTCTGACACTTTCATCTATTAGCTGTTCATTTTTTTGTGAAAGGCTCCAGTATAAACTATCTTAAATCTCTAAATTGTGGTAATTCACTGATGAGGAGGAAATTCTATTAACAATTTTGAAAATTGTTCCGGAACCTATGTCTCTCTCTTATAGCTCCCTGAAAAACATGGTGAATATGAAATATTATCATAGAAATAAGCTTTTATCTACTGAGCAGCCTAGTTCTGATTTTTTCCCACCTATATGTATTATTTTACCATTACCATACATCACCATGTCAGAGTTAAAGTGTACATCTGTGTATAAACATATATTCTGTCTATTGAGTCTATATTTTACCATTCTCTCTTACTGTAGTCTTCCATATGAACCTAAAAATAATTTTTTAAAAACCCCACAAAACTTAGATGTACCCAAGAGAAACAGCTATGAGGAAAATAAACTCACAGAGGACAATTTAAAAATAATTTTTTTCCAGCTTCCTAGTTTAAAAATAGCATGCTTGTTGAGATGTGTAACAATTAAAAATAGCTCTTAAGTAGAGAGACTGTGTTTTTTTAAGATCTGTTTATCTGACTTTTCATGTCAAAAATATTTAAGAATCAAAGTTTATATTTCACCAGTAATGTCTTTAAAGTCCTCAGGGTAAACCCCACACACACGTCCCACCACATACACAGAGTATTAACTACTTCCTGGATATGCTAGATAGATTCAGAGTTCATATCAATCACTTTTTAAATATGCTATATAGGTTCAGAGTTCAACTTTATTTTGAAAAAGAATAAATCAGTTTTGAAGTTTTCTTATATAAAACTTGGCTAGAAACTCAAAGCCAGTGAACCGTAAGCATGGTTCACGAACCATTCCTTGTTGGCAAGTGTACGGTAAAGAGATCCTTGCTTGAAGAATGCTGGTATGAAGAAGAAGTATATATTTAAATGAATAGCTTGAAGAGAATGGATTTGTAATTTTAGGATTCAAAATTTAATTGAAAATTTAGTTTAAATTGAGTGACTTAGAGGCTTTGCTAGGAATTTTTAGTAGTAACATAGAAATGTATCTCTACACACCTTAGGAAAACTACTAACATAATCAAATACATTCACCAATTTAACTTCTTTCCAGTTCTTTTTCTCCCATATCAGGAAGTACCCACTCTTTAATGAACTTGTTCATCTTCCTACTTGTAATTCTTATATTTTTTTAATATGTAAAATCTCCGTAGACCTTTAGGGTAAAGTGAGAGCCCAACAATTGCCTCATCTAGGAGACTATACAAGAAGTCACAGCAAACACAGAAGGTACTTTCTCTTAGAAAAAAAAATTAAAATTTGTTTTTCATAGTATTTGTTCTCTGCTTTTGATTTGCAGCTAAAAGAGAAAAAATGTTTTCATGTTCTTCTTAATCTTAAAAATACACACAAACATATAAAAACAATATGTTTAATTCCAGCAAAGGTTTATCAAGTCTAGAAGTTCTTAAGAACACGCCATAAGCCTATATGTAAAAAATTAACAGGAAGCCTAGGGCTTGACCTTGGCTCCTGAGAAGGATCGGGACGCCGAGGCACATTCCCACAGTTCCTCTGAGTCATTTGCTGTGTCATTCATAGGTTGGCAGGGATAGTTCCTAGTCAACAATTCAATTCCGGTCACTGTCAAACCTCCATATACAGTTATAGGAGAAGAAAGACGGTTTCTCATATTTGCCAATTCTGAATATTTACCAAGATCACATTTCAATCAGCAGATTTCTCAGGAGTTTTTTGTGTCAAAACTGCCTATGATGTTATGATCCAGTGAATAATAATTTATTATAAGGTCAAATGCAATGCCTGGAGTAAGTAACACATGATCCAATTTAGTAAACCCACTTCTCTCTTTGCAGAGTTGCAAGTGAATACAGAAATACTTGCAAATTGCTTTGAGCTGTGTAATGCCTCAATGCAGACATGTGCATAGGTAAGGGAAGACAAGAGAAAGGAAAGAAGTAATCATATTTTTGCACCTGGTACTATGATAAGCACTTCTTAGACTCTGTTTCATTTTATTCTTCAAAAAACATGGCCGCTATTTGTATAATCTTCATTTTAAAGACAGGTCTTTCTGGTTCTGGAGCCTACACACTTAATATAGTACCACATTATTATTATCTATGAAACGAAAGATTTCTGTATTCATTTGCTCCTTATTCAACCCTAGCTAAAAGGATTTACCTTGTTGGTTTCCTTATAGGTCTGTATATTGGCACCGGTGATATGCATGTCTAGCCTGCAAATGGCATGTCTCTCTCAGCTTTGACGTCAGGTGGCTCACACTATACCATCCAGCCATATTCAGGTGTAGGTCCCAGGAAGATGGTGGACAAATCTGAAAGTTAAGCATAGACAAGAGCTTCCACATTCAGGCCGTGAGACTCCTGTAAATTCATTAGGACACTGAGAACTATTTTAGGGGAGGAGAGATAAGAATCACATTGCTTTCATTCATGTATTTATGCATGTATACATGTAGTTATTTATCATCCACTAAACAAACATTATTGGTGCACCTACACAGGCCAGGCATTGTTAGGCATCGGAAATGCAGAGGTGAGTATGACAAGTATAGTTCTGGCCCTTATATACCCAGTAGTCTAGTGGAAGAGAATAATATGAAAAAGAATTACCCAAATAAGTGTATGAGGGCAGTCTCTGAAAAGTATAATGAAGGAGCATATTGGCGGGTATATAACCACACCAGCAGGCAGTCTGAACTCGTCTAGATGTTCCAGACAGACTGAATGAGAAATGGGAGATAAAGAGGTACAGGTGTGGGGTGGGCAGGGGTTGGGGGTATGGATAGCATTGCAGACCAAGCAAGCATCATCTGGGACAATTCTGTGGGGATGGAGACACCAGAGGGACCGGAGCACAGACAACCATAGGGCGAGCGGTTTGCAAAGCCCTGTGGAGTGGTGGGGCAGCAACCTGAACAGCCATATCCTCGTTAAGGACGTGTTTTCATCTTAAAAGCGGCAAGAAGTTTTTAAAAGGCTTTAAGCAGGGAAGTGGCATGATTAAATGTGTGATTTGAAAAGATCTCTTTAGGTGCCGTGTTTAGAATAGAGTGGGGAAAATAACTGAAGTGTTTCAGATAAGACATGATGGTAGCTTGGGCTAAGTGGTAAGAGGAGAGAGTGAGAAATAGACACGTAGGGAAAACAATCGTACTTCTCAGTGATTGCTTGAATCCTTGGAGCTAGGGCAAAGGATGCATAGGGATGAACCCAGACGCTTCCTATATAAGTGTTGAAATTGAAGTGAGGGATGCACAGATTCTTATTAAATGTGGTCACTGCTTGGTTACTGCATTCATCTTCTCATCTTCCTGAGCACATCTCTCATTTAGCAGAGAAAATTACCCCTTTTACCCTCAGGATCAATAAGTGATTCCTCTCCTTGACCTTCTAGAATTTCTGCCCTGTCTGGAAAGTCTGAGAAAAGCTAAACTACAAAACAAAGCACCCAAGGATTTTGTTTTCTTCTGTCTGGCTTCTCTTCTTTTATTCCCCCTGATTATATACATCCAAACTACTACATCTCATCCCACATAAAATGACTCTTCTCCCTCAATCCTTTAACTTTGAGAAATTCTTTTAGTTCCATTTAGAAAACATCAAGTAAGATTTAAGAGGCTAGGCAGTGGAAATACTCATTTCTCTTTGGAGGGATTATTCTTTTTCTTTCAAGGTTATTAGTTATCTAGAGCATGAGAAACGGCATCTGCAACAATCCCAGGGACTCAGAAGATTAAGAAAAAGAAATGAAAAGCCCTCTTGACCGCAAAGCCGGTACTTTGGAACCGAACGCTCAGTTTTATTTCATTCAATTTTTAGAACTTGCTTAAACCAGTATTATTGACTTGATATCTTTCATTGTCTACATAAAAGAATGCAAAATGGAAGAAGGTGATGGTAGATCGCTACCATCTCACTGCCGCTATCCAAAGTCTATAACTACTGAGCTGGGATTATAGATCTGCAACTTTGACTTCATTCGGGGGTTGACTTGAATCCTGAGCTACTGCCCCTCACCCTGCATTCCAGTCAGCACCACACCTGATAAGGAACTACCTTTGCCTCTGCCGTTAACTAGTTTTGTGGCTCTGGAAAATTCATCTGACCTCCCTGGACCTCAGTTTCCTGGTTGTAAAGCCAAGAGGTGAGGCTTGATGATTTTTGAAGTACCTTCCACTTAACTTTCTAAGAAAGACAAATCTTGGTATGTCTGACACAGAGTGTGTGTATGTGAACCGGTGTATTTGCTTTTTATCCAACTTTTCAATCTTGTGCCTCATAAATGTTACAAAACAAACCTCACATATTTCTTTCTCCTTTGAGAAATAAAAGCAGATAAATAATAAGCCAGGCATTTACAGTTATAAGATCCCGGACATTTGAGATGTCTGTTAATTTGTCCCCATCTTATCCATTTTGGCCTGTCACCCATCTCTAGACTTACCTCCTCCAGGGCCCTTAGGGTCTCCAAATGTCCCTTTGGCAGGACCTCTCCCAGGCCGACCCAGTGAGGAAGTGCTCCCAAATCAAAACTGAGCAGCCCACCCATGCTCGTAAAGATAATCTTAGCAAGGAGGAAAGTAATCTGATTTCCTGATAAAAAATGTGACATTTCAAAGATGGCACTGACTGATAGGCTGGACTACCCCAGTGTTATTTACGTGTTCAGATAGGAACAACTAACACCAGTGGATTGCTTATTGATCGGGTGCCCATGAGAAATGAGTGGGAGCCGTCAGGCCATCTCGTTGCCTAGGCAGGGTTGTCTGCCTCCAAAGTAGATCCTCAGAACAGAGGTCTGTGACTGGGTGCTCTACTCTGAAATCTTACTGAGCCGCATTATTCAATCTCTTTTTAGCACTGCAAGGAACAGACACTATACAGAGGAGAGAGGAGTGCAAATCCTCTGCACCACATAGCACCGGGGGATGGGGGAGAAGATGTGCAGAAATCATGAAATACAGTTGACTACCTGCTTGTCGCCCTTTGGAGAGAAGGTCTGTCAGGGAAATAGGTACAGTCACTCTCTTCTAGAATAGACTTTTTATTAAGAGCTGCTGAAACAACAAAATTACTGCTCTCTGCATTCAGTACTCAGTGATCCTCTTAGAGTTTTTCTTCTTTTAAATTTCAAAAGCTATCTGTTAGTCTATAATTTGAAAAAACTAGACCTCTGTTGTCAGTACGTAGCCACTAGCTACATGAGGCAGTTAAGCACTTGAAATGTAGTTTGTCCAAACTGAAGTAGGATCCAAGTGTCAAATACATCCCAGATTTCAAGCCCTATAAAGAAGGCTACCCATCAGCTGAAGATTTTTCTAACAGGAGATGGGACAAATAACATGACTGATAAGCAGAATGTATACATCGAATAGTATATTTTGCTAGGAAATACTCATCTGGTATTTCTATTTCTAAGCGTATCCTTCTCTTTGATGTGAAAACAAATAATTTTCACACCAAAGCTATCAAATTAATTCTACTATAGTTGAAAAATAAGGAGAAAATTTTTTTTTTTTTTTTTTTTGCGGTATGTGGGCCTCTCACTGTTGTGGCCTCTCCTGTTGCGGGGCACAGGCTCCGGACGTGCAGGCTCAACGGCCATGGCTCACGGGCCTAGCCGCTCCGCAGCATGTGGGATCTTCCCAGACTGAGGCACGAACCCGTGTCCCCTGCATCGGCAGGCGGACTCGCAACCACTGCGCCACCAGGGAAGCCCAGAGGAGAAAATTTTATAAACTACTTTTTTCTTGGTGGTAGGGGTAGTACTTATCTTCTCAAAATCTGAAAAACATAAATAAGAAGCTCCTTCTAAAACTCAAACCAGTAGCCAAAAAAGAAAAGTTTTCTGCATTTTTTGATTAACTTTATTCTTCAAGCACTGCCTATTAAAATACAGTCACAATCAACACTTAGGCACAAGTCTTATGCATGAGCCAGGGATCAGTGTCTTATCTCAATGTTTACATAAACCAGGAGAGTAGAAATCTCATAATCCAGCAAGAGTTAGAAATCGGTAATTAGTTTGTAACAGAATTAAAGTAAGTAGTTCCTTTTCCATATATCATGATCATGTTTATTTACTGAGAAAATAATTTTCTTCCTAATTCTTAGGACAGAGTAGAAAAGCCAGTTACATACTGTGCTATAGACCTTTGACTTCCTATAGAAGGAAGGTTGTATTGTTTGCCCTTTTTTCTTTAGCCTTCAGCCATATGTTTAGACTCAGCCTCTCCTTCCATGCTACATAGCAGCATGAAAGCCATAAAATAACCTAGACACAATTTTGAAAGCAGTGGATAAAGTCAATCTTTCTACTGTTGCCATTCATATATTTACTCATTCATTCTAAAACTATGTCTCAAGAATAATCTTGGTACCAGAAAGTCTGCAAAGCATTATAGATACAGAAATAAATAGTATCAAGTTGGTATGGAGGTATACAGAGATAAATATACCAATTTCTATTGGATGTAAGGAGTTAACTATAATATTATGTATTATAGTTGACACTGTTATAAAAATATATATAGAAAGCCCACCACTATGAAGGGTGATCCTGGACCGCTTTCTCAGAATGAGTCCTGGCCAGAGAAGAAGACGACAGGGTGGTGACTGCAGTGGTTGAAGGAGGATGTTGCGTTTGGGCCAGAGGATTTCCGGAGCTTGAGTATCTATGTGAAAGGAGGAAAAGTGAATGATGAAAGAGGATGTAATTTTTCACTCTTCAGTTGCTTCACATACAAAGTTTTGCCTTTGTCACTTATATAGTAATTCTACAGTGATTATTATCAATAATATTATTGTTAAATATTAATTCCATACTCTTCACAAGGATAAGCCTATCTGTTTTTTTTGGGGGGGTTATTTCTTTATTTACTTTTTGTATTTGACATCTCTCTAATGTAATTGGCAGATCCTTGTGATGTTCTGAATTCCTTTCAAATCTGGGTATTGGGCAGTGTCTGGACAGTGACATTTAGTACCAGAAGATGTTATCACCTCTTAGATAATGAGTGAATGTTCCAGATCTCCAACTCAAAAATATTCTCGATCTTTAAACATCTAGCCACCTTTTGAGGCCAAGACTGCAGTGACACTGTGGAAAACGGTCTCAAAAGAGACTCCCCATGATTCCCTGCCCGGCGTTTTCTGCCTCCACAGTGTCCTGGGGTGGAAAATTTTGCCTTGGACATCGTTCCAGTTGGAGGAGGACATTTCCTTCTCTGGGCAGACTCGTAAATTGTACAGACACAACAGAAGATTATCATGCTGAAGATGAAAGAGTGAGACTATGTCGATCCCAAGAAAGTAGGTCATAAAAGTTTTTCTAGCGCTTTGCTAAATGAGAAACCTATCTTCAGTGTACTGAGAAGGCCGAGATTACTTGGATGCCATTTATTTATATGGAGAGAGAAAAATGAAGTTTCTTTGTTACTTTTGGGGACTTTAACTTTCAACTAACTAAATAAATGATGTACTGAAAATTAGGTCTTCTTATTTAAGTATTATGTTTTGTAGACCCTTACTCACTGTTCTTAAATTCTGGGAATAGGTATGAAAATATTCCCTTCTTGAATTCCTGTTGTGATTTTGAATTCTTTTGGGATTAGGGAATGAGGTGCCTACAGAAATGTCCAGAATATGTATCGTGGTCTTTAGTAAAAGGAAAAAGAATTCAAACCGTCTTCAGCTTTTAACAATGTTTTAGGTAAAGTAAAATTATTCTGACAGAAATGTAAGTAAACATTTTGACTACCTTCCTCATATGCATGATGCACCAGAAATTGCATCATAAATGTTTGGAGGTGGTTAAATAGTTACTCAGAGTTGGCAATAATATGTCTAGATGACATGAAGCAGATAGGTTCTGCTTGCCATCAAATGGACTTTCCACCTCTAGGGAAGAATTTAGCAAGAAATTCTTGAGCATTTGTAAACCTCCTCATAGTTTTCATTTCTTTTGACTGAAAGTCTAGGTACCAAAAAAAAAAAACCAACAAGAGGCATTCTGTGTAATTATCATTATCTTTATTTTTGCTGAGATTGTAACTCTATTTACTAACAAGTTTGGAAGCTTCTCCTTTGTTTGAACCAAGAAATCTAATCCCTACTGTAGGATAGAGAGGGCGCCAGCATTGAAGGTTGAAGACATGCTGACTGCTTGCCCTTCCTCTCCAGGGTCAGTTAGATCAGAAGACTCAGACCAAAGACACGTGGTGGGAAGAGCCCAGGCCAGAAAGGCAAGGTTCCTTCAGTTCTGGGACCTAAATTTCTGTCATTCACTATCTTTTATTATTTCTTAAATGCAAATGAAAGATTAAGGTGAATGCAATTCGCTGTCAATTTGTATGAATTCTTTTCATCTCATAATCAGGCCCTTTCTAGTTAAGTATAGCTATGAATATATAAATAAAAATAGAACTAGAGGGACAGTCTTGGTTCTGCTGCTAGGAAAGGAGGTATGCAATTTTGGGCATCCCAGGTTAGCAGGAGGACAAGAGTTATTGGATGACCATCGTAGGCCCACTTGAATCGCATTGTGGTAGCATGGGTGGTGGGATGGGGCAGTGGGGGAAGGTTGGAATGGATACTGGTGCAGGCGTAGGAAATGTTCACATCTTGTCATATTTAAAGATAACTACTGAAAATCTTTTAGAGGCAATCCCTAATTTACAAACAGATTGTATTACAGAAGCTTAACAACTTGATGAAACGAAGTTTGGGGATATAATTACCTTGCGGAACAGAATGATAGTGGGTATGGAGAATTCCAAGTCAAAATACACAATTTGCTTTAACCTATCCATAGATGTTGTCTGATATATGCTCAGGACATAGGAGAATAAAACTTTAAATCTACTTTTAAAGTGTTTCAATTCTCTGTGAGTAGTGAACAGTTAATATCCTCCATATAGAGACTAAAAATGATTTTTAAAAATTTGTAGTTTGTACGTATGCATTTTTTTTTTTTTTTGCAGTACGCGGGCCTCTCACTGTCGTGGCCTCTCCCGTTGCGGAGCACAGGCTCCAGACGCGCAGGCTCAGCGGCCACGGCTCACGGGCCCAGCCGCTCCGCGGCATGTGGGATCTTCCCGGACCGGGGCACGAACCCACGTCCCCTGCATCGGCAGGCGGACTCTCAACCACTGCGCCACCAGGGAAGCCCCCGTATGCATTTTTAACATCAGTGTTTTTTTTTGCATAGAAGTCCAGCATTGCTACTTCTTCCCAATGTTTGGACATCACCAATGGTTTTGTAGTCAAGGAAATGAGTTCCTTGAGGTTGGTTTATCTTTTATTTCTTACATTTTTCATCAGACGCATCAGACGTGCATGCCTCTGATTGCACAAAAGAGCAGGGTAGAGAAAAGAATCCCATTATTATCTTTTTTAAGACACTGTTAAGAGGATCACAGAGTCCTGAAGACCATGTTCGCCACTTCAAGTTCTCGTCCCTCTTTCACTGATTCTCATGGAATTGAACTACATTTCTCTGAAATATATTTCCTTGGAAACTTCTTGAAATACTCTGCCTCTGGACTCCTTGTAAAGATGTACTTTCCAAGAACAACTTGATTTTCAATAGATTTTCTAAGAACTGACCTCTAACCTAGACTGAGGCAGCCTTCTCATCCTATACTCAAGCAACACCATGGATTTCCTAGGAAGCTGCCTGGACTAATTAACATTATATTCAGAAGAAAGAGAGGCAGCTAATGTTGTATTTTCTGGAAATAAGCACAAGAATATAAAGTGCCCTTCTTATTGTTGAGGGTAATAATGTCAACCAGGCTTTTCCGTGGAACTTACAGGAGTGGTTAGTGCCTAATTAAATAGATTCATAAGTCCTGAGCTATGTTCAGCAATTAATTCAATTGAGTAAACATCCATTGACATCTCAGGGCCAGGCACTGGTGCGAAGGATCAAGTGATGAAAAATGGCAGACCCTTCTCAAATAGCTCACTCCAACCCGTGATTAAAATGCAGGAGATAGGAGGAAGAAGTGCAATTGTAGGTGTATGTTCAAGGGACAATATCAGTACCGAGAAAAAGAACAGTTGACTATAAGAGTGATCAGATGAATAGAAGCTGAGTTGGAAGACTCAGGAATTTACTCTGAGAAAATAGGAGATGGATGATTCCAGGCAAAAGTATCCACACATGCAGCCCTACAACAGTAAGAAAGGTCCAGACACGGTCAGAGCACTCTGAAGGGTTTGTGTGCCTGTAGTATAAATATGCAAGGGTGGAGGAAAGGAGTCTTATGGTAAAGGAGCTCAGGGCCTGGTATGACTTACATAAACTGGGGACTTTTTCCTGGAGACTATGAGATGACAGTACAGACTTTTAGTTGAGAAAGAGACACAGTTAAATTTGCATTTTGCAAGGCCCTTCATCTCAGCGGTATGGTACATAGGTTAGTTAGAGAAAGAACTCAGAGGCTAATAGGCTTTGGCAGAAAGTAGACCTTTTTTTTCCTCCTAGTTTAAGCCTGAAATAATGATATCTGATGTTATGATAATATCTCATGGTAGTGGAATTGAAATTAAAATGAGATGAATCCAAGAGAAAGAAGCCAACTTGGTGAGATTGGTAACAGACTGGAGGTAGATCATTCTGAATGTGCTTTCTGGCACCAGCAAAATAGGGGCAGCCATTTTTGAACCATTTTATTGAGGTAACATTGACACACAATAAATTGCACGTATTTAAAGTGAATACTGTGTCAAGTTTTTTATAATATGTGTACAGCTGTGAAAACACCGCAATTAAAATAGTAAACGTGTCCGTCACCCCCGTAAGTTTCCTTTTGCCCTTCTGTGATCTTTCTCTGCACACCCCCTCACCCCTTCTCAGGAAATTGCTGATCTGCCTTCTGTCACTGGAATCATACAGCATATTCTCTTTTGGCCTCCAGCTTCTTTCATTCAGCTTAATTATTTTGAGATTCAACCATGTGTGAACATCAATAGTTCCTTCCTTCTCATTGCTGAATAATCCTCCATAGCATGGATATACCATGTTTGTATCTTCCAGTTTTATTGAGATATAATTGGCATACAGCACTGTATACATTTAAGGTGCATAGCATAATAATTTGACTTATGTACATCATGAAGTGATGACCACAATACGTTTAGCAAGCATCCATCATCTTCTACTAATACCAAATTAAAGAGATAGAAAAAAGATTTTTGTGATGAGAACTCTTAGGATTTACTCTCTTAACAATGTTCATACATAACGTGCAGCCATGTGAATTATATTTATCATGTTGTACGTTACATCCTGGATATACCACATTTTGTTTATCCATTCACTGGTGGATGGAAATTTGAATTATTCTTGTTTTTAGCTATTAAAAACAAAGCTACTATGACACTTGTATGCGACTATTTGTATGGCAATATGCCTTCTTTTCTTTTGGAGAAATGCCTGGAATTGGAATAAGCCCATCATATGGTAAGTGTAAGTTTTTTTTTTAAATCCTGCAAACTGTTTTCCAAAGTTGTTGACAATTTACATTTTTTAAATTATTTATTTATTTGCTTGTTTGTTTATTTATTTTTGGCTGCGTTGGGTCTTCGTTGCTGCGCGCAGGCTTTCCTCTGGTTGTGGTGAGCGGGGGCTACTCTTCTTTGCGGTGCATGGGCTTCTCACTGCGGTGGC